TCCTTTGGTAACTTTTTGAAGCTCCTCATATGATGAAGCTAAATATGACTTCATTCTTTGTCTTTTCTTTCTAAGTTTTTGCCATCGGGTGTGTGTGCTGACTGGAGAGAGACAGAGATTGACAGAGACAGGGGAAGTGAGAAATCACCCCCAGAAGGGATGCCACACCACAGTCCCTTCTCCTCCATTCTCCTCTCAGGATTTTGGGCACGCATGCACCTGGGCACGCACCCAGCATGAGTTTCAAGCTCTTGGGTCTGGGACTTGAACCACAGTTGGCCACGTGGAAATCCAGTGCCTTAACCACCATGCCACCTGTTGGTCCCAGGATTACTTCATTCTTGAAAGTTTCTAATATTAAGAAAACGGTTGTTTAGGTTGGCAACTAAAACACCTTCATTTTTGTGACTGGCAGGGAATAGTGTATTTCTCAGCCGTAAATGCGGGATAAGTGGAATCACACTGCCATCTTGCCCGTAACAGCCAGGTTGCTAAGTTAGAATCCAGAAGAGGGTGTTAGTTCTGATCTAAATACTTTATACAGGGTTGAAATCATTTGGAGAAGAATGAATGAAAACTGGAGTTATTCACTTGGAAACAACCTTTGAGCTGTTGCTTTCTGGAGACTCGTTGAGTGAGCATGGGTGGGACACTTCTCCCACAGGAGGTGGAGGTCGGCGCTGCATTCAGCTCTGCGCTGAGCTGTCATGCCCACTGGTAGCCAGGGTCCTGGCTGTAGCCAGTGCAGGGTGTGCTGGTCCTACCTGGACCTCAGGTTGCCTTCAAGCGTAGAGTCAGCATATAATCGAGTTGCTGCTGTTGAGAATTTACTGCTGAGGGCTGCTGTTAAACATTTTGTGTTGATTGACCTCCATACCAACGATCTTAAAGGCTGTCCTGTTAGCTGTCGTGTTGGCAGCCAGACTCCGGGGCTGTTTTCAGGGAGCTGAAGGCTTTGAGTTAAACATATTAGCCTAAAATGCTAAACAAAGACCCATCAGGGAATTTGCAAATTCTTCTCAGAGCACAGTAACATACATATGGATATCTTTTTTCTTTTTCTTGTTTTTTAAATTGCCACTTTAATTTTGTCAACAAATTTCTCTTATTTTTTTTTTTATTCAAATGCATATATGTGAGAGAGTGGGGAGAGTGAGCCCCCTTCATGCTGCAGTCCCTTCTTCTCTAGTTCTTCATCCCCTCAGGGTCCTGGGCCTGTGCTTGCCTGGCTTGTTTTGCAAGCCTCCAGGGTTAGGACTCAAACCCTGGTTGGCCATGTGGGACCTGGCTTCCCTTGTACAGCTTAGAGGCTGCATTGGAGGGCCAGCTTGGTCATTTTTCTTTAATAAATAAATAAACCCCACCATCTGTTCATCCATGTCAGTTGAGGACAGATTCGGAGACCCTGGAGGTTCCTCCTTCCTGCACTCCCATCTAAGAAGTACGAGATGTTGCCAGCCGTGGAGCGGCGAGAATCTGTTCTGTTTGTAAGGGATGGGAGGGAATTTGGCAGGCCTCCCTGCTTCCCGAGATCCACGTTGTTTTCCTGCCACACTCCCACAGTAAGAGCGCCTCCTCCAGAGGGGATGGAGGTGAGGACACCTGCCTGGGAGAGGCATACTCATCCTCAGGCCAGAGCTTCCGCCAGGCAGGTGCCGGCCCCCGGAGCCTGTATCTGTGGGCCCTTCAGCCCCAATCAGACAGGCGGGTTCTCAAGTCCTGCAGTCCTGTGTGTTCTCATTGTTTTCACATCTTCCGTTAATGGTATTCACAGAGAGCACTTTTTTTTTTGTTTGTTTGTTTGTTTTGCTATAGAGCATGTGCACTCACCAGACAGACGGAGACAGAGAGACAGAAAGTGAGAAATCACCCCCCCAGGGGGGATGGCCATACCGCAATCCTTTCTCCTCCATTCTCCTCTCGGGATCTTGGGCATGCACGCACACGCGCCCTGTGTGAGTTTAAGCCACTGGGTCCAGGACACGAACTGAGGTCGACTACATGGGAGTCTAGCCACATAGCCATTATGCTAATTGCTGGTCCCAAATATTTTTGACACTGTAGATTTGTGGGTTCAGAACATGTATTACAGTTCTTCAAAGATCCCAAGTTGGGGTGAAAGGAACGAGAGTAGCTTTGGGAGGTCATGAGGCATTTCCTGGGAGGAAGGTGGAGTGGAGATACATAACGGCGTTTTCCTCTGTAGTTTTCGGTGTGCTCGCCCCTCAACTCACCATTGTTAAAGCTTTTACGCCTAGCTTTAGGTCCTTAGGCTTCATTTTACTGGTGGAGGGTAAAATCCAGCCAAACATCTATCTTGAAGTCACAACTGTTAGAATTCATGTCACTCCGTTTTTTCCCCCTCAGATATTTGCCATGTGACACATTTGCTCACGGGAGAGAAACAGGCAGAGAGGAGGTGAGAAACCACCCTCGGGGAATGGCCATGCTGCAGTCCCTTCCCTGCCATTCTCTCCTCGGGGTTTTGGTCATGCACACACATATGCGCGTCATGGTTTTTAAGCTGCCGCATCTGGGACTTGAATCGTGTTGAACCATGGTCAGCCATGTGGGAATCTAGTGCCTTAACCACTACGCCACCTGCTGGTCCCTACGCTTGTCTTTTATAGAGGTATCATAGTAGGTGTGTATAGTTTCATCATCAGATGTATGTGCTGTTTCTGGTTGTCCTCTTCCAGTTAGAAATGATACATGGTTCTTCACGTAAATTGCACGAGGGGACTGCTACGTTATCTTGGTAATTTTTTCATTTTTAAGACTAATTTTATTCATTGTCTTTTTTATTGAAGTTGAACAGAGAGAAGGAAAGTGAGAAAGCAAGCTGCCAGGTCTGGGACTCGAACCACCTTCAGTCATGTGGGAGTACAGCCGCCTTAACCACCATGCCAGCTGCTCGCCCTGGTATGCTATTCTTTATTTAAAGGGTGATTAAAACTTTGTTTGAATCATTTATCGATACTTTCCAAGGTCGGTTACACAAACGTGGAATCTCCGTTTCGCTAAAGGGTATGCCATTTCAAAAAGATAAGCTCACCTGTGAGTCGTTTCACATTTACTGCCACACGGGTTAGAATCCCTGCAGGCGTGGCCGGTCTCTTCCACCCTCGATTTAATGTGGTCAGGTCATAACACTGCGAGTCACATGTCGGACCGAGAGCCCAGCCCTGGGTTTGGCTGGCCGAGGGCTGTCCTTGGAGGGTGTTCTCTGCTGCAGCCGTCGGGAGACTCTTGCTGAGTTAGCAGAGCAGTTACTGCGACTCCTGGGACTCGCCTGGCTTCTGGAGGGGTTCTGGCTAAAGCTAGCCTGCCCTGTGGTCATCCAGGCCAAGTCAGGAATCAGAGGGGCCGCTGGCCTAAAAATAGTTGTCACTTAGAAGAAGCCCTGAGTGGCACGGAGCCACCACTGCCTCCTTGCTGCCAGAGGCTGACCACATTCGGAGGTGGAGAGGAGGTCGTGCGAGGAGGGTGTGTTGTCTGGAGACAGGTGCGAAGCTTGAGCAGGAGGGAGCTTTCTTCCTGGCTTGTGTAAGCAGAGGTAAGAGTTTTAGAACCTGATCTTAAAATTTTGGGGAAACAGAAAAGTAACTTATCGAGGTTATTTTTAGACTAGGCTGACTGGGATATATTTCTAGATGATTCCAGCTTGCAAGAAGCTCTTTTGTAGTTAATGTTAATCACAGAATGACCGAGAAATCCAAACAGTAACATGTCTTGTTTCCTCTACTGGGAACACAGAGCGAAGCATTGTTTGACAACTTGCAGACAATAGGACATTTAAACAAAGACCTATAGATTGCAATTTAAAATTTAGAGGGAGATTGCTCAACATTCTTAGTAGTAACTCTGGCTATGACATGGTGTACATTCTCTGTTGAAGTCCGGTAGGCTTCGAGGATGAAATTTCAGCTGGAGATTGAGACCCAAAATCATCTTTTCAGAATGGTGGCTGTCTCCTGTTAGGTGTAACACATTCAAAGCTTAGTATTTCTTTTAGATAATTCTTTTTTTTTTTTTTTTTGGAGAGGTTTTTTTCGCTATAGGGCGCGTGCGCTCGCCAGACAGACAGAGAGACAGAAAGCGAGAAATCATCCCCCAGGGGGGATGGCCACGCCGCAGTCCCTTCTCCTCCATTCTCCTCTCGGGATCTTGGGCACGCACGCACACGCGCCTGGCGTGAGTTTTAAGTCACCGGGTCCGGGACGCGAACCGCGGTCGACTACGTGGGAGTCCAGCGACATAGCCATTACGCTAACTGCTGGTTCCCTCTTTTAGATAATTCTTTGTTCTATTGATATTTTAGGTGATACCAGATCAGGACAGAAATCATGTAATTAAACTATCTGCTCAAAAGGCCAGGAGCACCCTTTTCACCCGAAGTCTTCAGGCTAATGGCAGAAGTGGATTAAATTGGAGGGGCAGTGCTCTGTCTCACAGGGTGGCCCTTGCTTTTCAGGAATTCTTCCACATCACCTCAAGGCTGACGGCTGAGTGTGAACAATGACATCTCATTTGGGGTGGCATAGAGGACTCTTGCTTTTGAAGAGGTTGCTTGTCACCTTGAACACAAAGGATAATTTGTTGCTAATAAATTATTGTGCCAGCACCCCCCATTCCCCTTTTAAAAACAGTGTTTGCTATCCCCCGATCCTCCTGTCTCATCTCCTCTGAGTAGCTGGGACTACAGTGCATGTCTCTGTAGGTGTTCAGCATGGGCAGGGAATCGAACCTGGGCCTCCCACATGGCCTCAGCTTGCCAAGCTGTAGCCTCTGTCATGCCCCATGCAGCTGGGCCAGTGGGCCCCTTTCTTGTTAAGCATGAGAGGAGGTCATTGCAAGGCGTGGAGTGGGGAGTGGTATGAGCCAAGTTACAGTTCAGAGGGGCCCTTCTGGCTGCCCCGCGGAGAGCGCCGTGTGAGGGGGAAGGAGGGGCTGATGACTTGCCCGTCAGGGACAGGGAGGGTCAGTGACTCCGTGGACCAAGACAAATGGGGCCTGTGGGTGTATTTTGAAGACAATACCTGCCTATTGGGGTGAGAGGGAGAGGGCGATGTCAGGTGACTCCTAGCTTTTCTGGCTGGCCCGACAGCTTGGGTGCATAGTGGGGTCTTTACTGAGAATGCGGCAGAAATTGGCAGGGGTCTAGCAGCCTGGAGTTGTCTTTCCGACATGAGAGTGAGGTGCCTGTTAAATATGTAAATAGAGATGTTGAATGTTCACTCAGTGGGAAAAGATGGGCCCGGGTTAGACACTTGCAGGAGTTACTGTAAAACAGAAGGTGTTTAAAGCAGGTTGTAAGTGCAGGAAGAGGAGTGAGCGAGGGGCCGCACCCTGCCCTGCTCTCAGAATGCTGAGGGTGGTTAGGGAAGGGTCCAGCAGGAGGATTTGCCAAGAGGAACCTGTGAGTTCTCTGAGGTCGCGTAGGGAGGGAGCCTTGAGCCTGAGCCCGTAGTGTGAAGTTTGTTTACCAAACCGGGAATGTTTGTGTTCACTCTTTTGGATATGTGTGTGTGTGATCCTCATTTAGAACCTGCTAAATCAGGACCAGCAGGTAGTGTAATGGCTATGTCGCTGGACTTCCCCATAGTCAACTGCGGTTCGAGTCTCGGACCCAGCAGCTTAAAACTCACCAAGGTCCCAAGAGGAGAATGGGGCAGAAGGGATTGTGGCATGGCCATCCTCCCTGGAGGATGACTTCTCGCTTTCTGTCTCTCTCTGCCTTTCTGGTGAGCAAACATGTCCTGTAGCAAAAACCTCTCAAAGAAAAAGGCATGAAGAGAGGACTCCACCCTCCTAAACTTCACCTTAATTTCTTCCAAAAGGACTCATTTTTCAACAGCACGAACATGAATGGGTGATTATAGTGGGCAGGGAATAGAACCCAGGCCTCCCCGTGGCTTCAGCGGGCTGAACTGCAGCCTCCATCATGCCTGTGAAGCGTCCTCTTAATACCTTCACAAGTGAACCCCAACACCTGAGCATTTGGGGGACACAGACAGGCACAAGGACAGACTCAGAGATATGTGCCCCTGTTCTCTTATGATATGGCACTCTGCATGGCCCCGGGGCCCCCACAGAAATGCCCTTGCCACCTGCGGTCTCTGGACCTTGGCCTCCGAGCCCTGAGCCAGATGCTCCTCTGTTCTCTTAGACTGTCCGGACTCAGGTCCTTTCTCTCGCTAGCTGCAGAGACTAAAACGTCAAGGTAAATTCAGCCAAAAATAAAAGCAAGTACAACAGATTTTTAAACACCAGAGTGATTTAGTTATCCTTAGGCAACCTAACTTCAGGGAAATCCATACATTCTGTTCTTTTTTTTTTTTTTTTTTTGGAGAGGTTTTTTTTAGGGCCGTTTTTGGAGAAGTTTTGCTATAGGGCACATGTGCTTGCTGTACAGAGAGAGACAGAGAGGCAGAGAGACAGAAAGCGAGAAATCACTCCCCCAGAGGGTGGCTACGCCGCAATCCCTTCTCCTCTATTCTCCTTTTGGGATCTTGGACACATGCACACACATGTCCAGAATGAGTTTTAAGGTGCTGGGTCAGGGACTTGAACTGCGGCCCACTATGTGGGAGTCCAGTGCTGTAGCCATTATGCCACTTGCTGGTCCCCATTCAGTTAGTTTTTAAAAACACTTGACAATGACAAGGACTCGGTACTCTTTGAGGGGTCCCTAACATCCAGTGCTTCTGTGTGTATCTGAGTAATTCCTGCAGAGCCGTGCTAAGCTCCTCATTCACTCACCAGGACTCTGTGTAGGACCCGTTCCTCCTCCGATCAAAACAGCCACACTTCCCAGTTTTCAGCAGCTGAGTTGCTCTCGGCTCTTGTTACGATGGTACGTGTCAGAAACCCTTCTGACCTTTGCCTCTTCACTCAGGTCTAAGCTACACATGGGACTTGCCAGCAACCTTCCCTGACGCCCACTCTCATAATAGCCATCTGAGGCCCCATGCCTTTTTTTAAAAAAAAAGATCTATTTATTTATTTGCCCTAGGGCACATGCACTTGTCAGAGAGAAACAGAGAGAGGGAAAGTGAAACATGCCTGGGGAGGGGGGGTTGTCCACACCCTAATCCCTTCTCCTTTATTCTCTTCTTGGGAATCTTGGCAAATATGCACTTGCACCTGTTGTGATTTCAAGGTACCAGGTCTGGGACTCGAACTGCCATCAGCCATGTGGGAGTCCAGTGCCTTCACTACCACGCCATCTGCTGGCTCAGTCCCCATGCTTTTCTACCCTTGGTTTATGTGGTTGTATCATTTCCTATTATGTTCACTCTGTACTCACTAATCCTTAACTGAGTGTTCGTAACCTTTAACTGACGGGTACTCAGTACATTTCATGAATGAATGAACGGCATGTGATATTTGCAAACAGATGCTTCAGAGGTGCCTAAGTAGCTTTGATTTGGGTTACTAGCTCAGTGCCATCTTTAAGTTTTTATGGAGGTAGAATGTATGTGTAACAAAATTCCCTCTTTTCAGGTATACGGTTCATTGAATTTTGACAAACACCCATAGTCCTGTAACTTCTAACCACAGTGGAAAAACAGAAGTTTCATCATTCCAGGAAGTTTTCCTGTGCCCCCGTTCAGTTCTCCTCACCTACTGCTGGGCAGTCCCTAATCCTGTTCCTTTAGATTGGCTGTTCTAGAGCGTTACGTACATGAGGTACACAGAGGTGGCCTTCTGTACTTGGCTGCGTTCCCATGGCGTCTGTATTTACGACAGAGCTGTGGTCTGTACATTCATTGTTTACCTTTTTATTGCGGAATGGCATTTCATTGTGTGGATTTACTGCAAATTGCGTTTTCAGATGGGTTGAAGAAAAGTTTTTTTTTTTTTTTTCTGAGAGGTTTTTGCTATAGGGCACGTGTGCTCGCCAGACAGACAGAGAGATACATAGAGACAGAAAGCAAGAAATCACCCCCCAGGGGGGATGGCCACGCCGCAATCCCTTCTCCTCCATTCTCCTCTCGGGATCTTGGGCATGCACGCACACGCGCCCGGCGTGAGTTTAAGCCACCGGGTCCGGGATGTGAACCCGTGGTCGACTACATGGGAGTCCAGCGACATAGCCATTACGCTAACTGCTGGCCCCAAGAAAAGTTTACTTTTGAGAGCGATAGGGAGACAGGTACCCTACGCAGGGTCTTCATGCCACAAGCCTCCAGGCGCACCCCGTGTGCTGAGGCCGGCTCTGAGTGTGAGTCTGAGCTCCCAAGTGATCCTCACACCTCACAGCAGCGTACCCGTGCCTGGCCCTGCCGGGTGTGTGTCTACTCATCGAGCAGTGATGATGTCTGGGTTATTTCTAGCCATTGGCAATTAGCTTTTTCTTCCTGTTTTCTTTCTTTCTTTCCTTTCCTTTTTTTTTTTTTTTTTTTTTTTTAAGAAAGAGTTTTTTTTTTAGGTC